TGCACTTTCCAGGTGGTGCCAAGCGTGTTGGTGGTGACGGCTGTGATTGGCCTGGCATGCCATCCCCACTCTTGGAACAGCTTGATGATGGCTTCGCGCTGGGTTCCTCGAGGGAAAGGCCCAACCTCGTATTCAGTGCGGTCGGCACTGCCCAGGAATGGAACGTCTGGCCGGAGCTGCTTGTGGAGAGCCGGGGCATGCTGGATCCTGGTTCGGACACCATACCGGTCTCCATTGCGTGCGACACATGTCGCGGTCAGGTTGGCCTGCTTGGTCATCTGGGCTTCCCTAAGTGATACTTTGGGTATCCAGACGACTTGGTAATCCGGGTGGGCCAATCGCCCATCCTCTGCTTTGGGTTCCATGTAGATGCCAGCCTGACCAGCGGATGTCTGGATCTCATCAATGAGGATGAGAGGGATACGAATGTTCACACAGAAGATGTCGGCTCTCTGAGGAGCGGTCTGCTTGAATCCACTGGTGAGGAAAGCCCGCTTCCACAGGTCCAGGATTGCTCCTTGGGTGGGGAGTTTCTGCTGGTTATGCCAGGCAGGGCATTCACAAGCTGGCTCTTTGCACAAGGTGAGGAGTGGAACGTGATCCGTGATGTACCTGATTGGCTTGGCGATCACTTCTGACCATTCCCCTTCGATTTGGTCTCGGTATACCGTGAACCTGAATGCTACCGAGGGGACTACCTCAACCTGCAACAATTTGGCCGGCTTGGGGCGAAGGACTTTCTTCTCACCTAGTTGGATGAGCGTGCCTCGCAAAATGATGGCTTCGCCCGTAACGGCACACATGGCAGGGAATTGAATCTCTTCGCACGGGAGCTTAGTGCTCATGAGATCCTTGAGTGGCTTCAGCACGATTGCTGCAAAGGCCTGGGACGATATACTTCGTCCATTGCGGAGGTATGGTTCAGCTTCACCTTCATTGAGGACGGCAACACCTGCAACGCAAGGTCCTACTTGTTGCAGCTGGATAGCACCAAGGGGGATATCAGGCTCCTGCACAAAGGTGCCCTTATTGATGATGACCTGGGTAGCCGGCACCTGTACCTGAACCTGTGCGGTTGCGGTTTCCTTTGGGCTCGGGCGTTTGTTCTTCCGGCCTACGGCTTGACCTGTGGCTGCACGCTGATCAACCTGCGCTTGCAGCTCATCCGGTCGGATCCACTGAAATTTGGCTTGCGAACCCACTACCTTGAGTGCCTTCCACTGGGCCTTGGAGGTGATGGCTTGCTGGATTGGTGTCACACCGATGGCATGCAATCCGAGCCGTGCGCGATCATGGCTCAGGTTGCTTGGCACTCCGTGGGCCTCCAGGACGGAGGCAAGTTGGACCTGCAGCTGGTCTGCATCCCCCCCTGCTCCCCAAACAGATGGGGCAAGGCAGGTGGCCTTGGCCTCCAACAGTCGGGTAAACAGCTGACGCATTTGCCAGCTCTGTTGCACTAGATCATCAGATTGCATGCTTGGGCAATTGAGGAAGTCACGGATGCAAAGAATGGCCACCGGCCCACACATGCCGAATGGATGCACAGGTCTAGGCCTGTAGGCGATCTCAATTGGGGTGGGATCTGCTACCTGCAGCAGATTGGCTAACTGATGCACTGCATCAATGTGCACTGTGGTGGCATCGTAGAAGATGACTCTCACCTGCGCTCCATATTGGATGATGATCGGCACCCAATGCCCTTGAACCCGCAGGGCGGTGATGACATGTGTGTTGAACGCAAGCTGGGAGCTGTCCGCCCACTGACGGAGGGTGGGCACTTGCTGCTCGTACGCAGTGGTTGGTATGAGCGGGTCCAGGACGACTAGCCATTCAGGGTGCCCTAAGTCCTGTGGGATTTGGCTGAGGTGGAAGTACATCTCATCATCGGCCCACAGTGGCCCATTTGTCTCCACTAGTTGGAGCCTATGCAGGGCCGGGATGCAGTGGGCCCTGAGTGCCAGGCACTGTAGCAATGATTCCGCACGTGGAGCTGGCGTGTTGGCAATTCCGGAAAGGGCTGGTGGTCCATGGGGTGCGACAGGCTCGAGCCTGTCATTGAGATCAGCTGGGAGTTGAACTCCACCGGCACACGTGGCTGTGGACAGATAGATGCGCTGGTTGTCCCGGATGGGATCACTGGCAGTGGCTGGTGGTAACAGTGTGGCACTGACCTGGGTCCCTTGGTCGGCGGCAAAGTTGGCCAGGTGGCTTTCGGCCTGTTGGAGATGCTCGATTGTTGCTCCTGCACGGAAGCTGACGGGAGTTGGAACCTGCGTGCCTGGGCCGACTGCCCAGCATGTCCTGATTGCTGTGTCATGAGCATGTCCAGAACTGAAGGCTCCTGGATACACGGGGGAGTCCTCTTCGATGGGGTCGGAAGCGCTCCTACTGCCTGCTCCCCAAATGCAAGGGACGGGGCAGAAAGACCTGGTGGCAAGGTACTGCATGAACGTTTGACGCATCTGCCAGCATTGTTGTAGGAAAGGCGTGGCTGGGCTGGGCAGGTTGGTGAGGTGCTGGTGGATGCAGATGATAGCGGCCGGGCCGCATGTGCCATAGGGTCCGCAGGGACCTGAGAGGTGCTCAAGGATTGCTTGCACTTGGTCACCCTGGATCAGCTGGCCAACTTGGCGCACTGCCTCAACCGATTGCGTATCGGGAGCTGATGTGGTAAGAGTGATGCGAGGACCGAAGCGTACCAGGATCGGGATCCAGTGTCCTTCCAGTCGCAACGCGGTGATGGCGATGGTGTCTTCCTGCGGGTTGACGCTGTTTCTCCATTGGCGGAGTATCTCAGAGTCATGCTCATAGGCAGTTGTGGTGATTAACGGGTCAAGCACTACAATCCTGTGCTGCTCACATGCATGTTGGGCAATGACGTGGAGATGGAAATGCATCTCATCATCGGCCCAAATGGGACCTCTGGCGGCGGCCAGGTGTGCCCGCTGCTTGGTCGTGATATTGTCAGCTCGGATGGACAGGTATTGGTTCATGGTGCTCATAATCGGGGATGCCTCGGCAACAAGCTGGGTGGTGGCTGGCAAAGTTCCCAGTTCAACTGGTGTGGTTGGAGGGAAAATCCCGCGGGATTCAGGCATGGCTGGGGGGCCTACGGAAATGCAAATACACTGCTCAGACTGAAGGAGCTCATGCGTTGCAACTGGCATCTGCGAGGTGGTGCTGATGACCTCCCCATGGGATGGTGTCCAATGAGTGAGCTTACATTCGGCTTGCTCAAGCTGACCAACAGTGGTTCCAATGCTGAATCTAACGGGTATGGCAGCTTGCGTGCCTGGGCCAACCACCCAGCACGTGGGCTCCAGCATGGGCTCATTGAGGTCTGCCATGATAGCGTCCTCAAATTCCTGAGATTCACAGGCATGTGAGATCTGCCTTGGGATGCATGGTGCCAGCAGGGCCTGGCACGTGGCTACCAGCTTCTGCTTGAACATAGCAAGCAATTGCATTGGCGAGGCAAGCATCGGTGGCAACCCAAACCTATTGATGGCCCAGCTGTGCACTTGCGAGAAAATCCACAGGCTTTGCATTGGCGATGCTAATTGACCCACAGCACAAAGGTCAAGTCTTTGATCGCCGCTTGTGCATTCCAACGGCATCATGCCAGACAGGATGGCCACTTCAGCGGGATGCGGATGTCGGTATCTGGGCCATTGGACTCCCTCAATGCAGCATTCACCTTCCAACCGGAAGAGAGGTGTCCATAGGCCTCTGGCTTCAATTCTCTCATGGCGAAAGCCATCGGATCGGCACCCACAGCGGCAACCCTGCAGCTGGTTTCCCCAGGAGTGGAGAGCGGTTGGGAACACATGGCTAAGATCGACCTCGAGCTGTTGCAATCCTGGCGAGTTTTCATGGAAGTTCCTGAGCTCATAGGCATCGAGCTCAAGCTGTGCCACATCTGCTGCTGGCCACTCAGGGGTGGTTGGCATCACGGTTCGGATGGATTGCTTTGTGCTGTCCTCGATCCATTGCTTAAGCGGGATCTTACCTAGTGCTGGGGAGGTGATCACACACCACCATCGGCTCCTACGGCAAGGCCATACCTGTGACAGCTGCATGACAGTTTGCGAGCACTCACTGCCTGTGCTCTCACAAAATTGCCGGATGTGGGCTTGAACATAGCTGTCGGTATGGGCTTCAGCAACGCATTCCAGGATGGTTATGTGGCAGCCTAGGAGGTACGATGTGAGCAAGGTCCACGGGAGGGTACCTGCACGTTGGTCCTGACCTTTGAAGCCATCTCCTCCGCGGCTGTATGGCTGACATGCCACGCCTGCTGTGAGGCTTTGTGCACCATGGCAAACGGTGGCGATTTTGGCAACGGTGCTCGGACATGTGATGTCCGCCAGCAAAGCCTCACCTTCAAAGTTGGCTCGTAGCAACTTATGGATTGGTGGCCTCCATTCCACAGCAACCGTGGGCACAAATCCAGCTTGCTTGGCACCTTGGGACGTGGCAGCAATGCCAGCACACAGTTCAATGACCTGGGTCAAGAAAGGGAGCTGGGCAGGCTTATGCGGGTGAATCACTCCAAGGCTGTGCTGGCAGAGGTAAACCTGGTCATCTACGCACTGCACCTCAAACTGCAAGAGGGCAACAACCCCATCCGGGCAAGGGTCCTCAGTGCAAATGCGGCAGGCCTGGCGGCTCAGGGGCAAAATGCCCAACACATGTGTGCCTCGTCCGGCGACGAGCACAACTGCATTGACCAACGCGCCATGTGCGGCGCGAAGGTCCGGCTCAAGGTGCATGGCGCGCAAAGTGGGAAACTACACCTCAAGCCTCGGCCTGCTCCGTCTCGCCTGCTGGAAGGCGCTTGAGCAGAGACTCAACAACAACACCAAAAGACGAAAAAAACAAAAGGAAAAAAAAGCAACAAAAATCAAAGAAGAAAGAAAACAAAAGGAAAAAAAAAACGGCCGTTGGCCACTCCCCCGCCATTTCTCCAAGCGGGATTCGACGCCTTTCTCTTCCTCGAGGACCCGGAGGCGCGGGCGGCGGCCTGTGAGACCTTGGGCCGCTTGGGGGACTACGGCGCGGCCTTCGCGGAGGAGGTGGCCATGGGCTTTTCAAAAGCCAAATCGGTGAGCCCCCAGTGAACATCAACCAATCCAACCACTTAAATAGGTAACCTAAAATTGTGTGTGTGGGAAACTATGGGAAACTATGGGAAACTATGGGAAACTAAACCTAAAATGGGTGGTGCACCTAAAATAGGTAACCCAAAATGGGTGGTGAATTCACCTACCATTTCCAAAGTGGGATACCATTGGTTTTGACAACCACAGCCAGGTGGAGGTGTGCCAGCAGGACGAGGCGCTTCGGGGTCGTTCGGGTGGGGGGGTGGGGGGGTGGGCGGGAAAGTGGGTGGGTGGGTGGGTGGGTGGGTGGGGAACGTAAAGGAAACAAAAAGGCATTAATCTGGAAGTACCCCGATCTTTTTGAGGCACCCTTAAAAGGGGTTTCAACCATTAAACAAAACTGCTCTCTTGATCTCCGGTCCCCGTGTGATACACGCCTTGGCTCCCCCAATCGGCTGAAACCGGCACCCAACCAGCCAACCAAACAACCAAACAACCGCCCTTTAAACCCACAAAAAAGAAGGGGTCCCCCCCTCCCAACAAAAAAAAGAGAAAACAAGGAAACGACCACCCCCCATTCTTCAACCATACCAACCGGTTCCTGGGTGGGGGTCCGTTGATGGAAATTCGCTGGGGTGTTGCCTTTCCACTTTCTTTGCCCAACGTAATCCCCTTTAAACGGCCGGTGACCTGTTTTCCTGTGGCCACCCGGGCTTTCTGGTTTCTTCGCCGCTGTTGCCTCCTTTTTGTTACATTCCTTGTTGCTTGTTTTGCTCGGAGGGGATACCCACCTTAACTTCAACGATGATAACCACTCTTTGCCCATGGCGTCTGGAGTGTGGCCTTTTTTTGTTTTGCTCGTGGATGCGCTTCCGCCGGATAAATGTTGTTTAGAAGCTCCCCTTTTCTAAGTGGTTGTTTCGCGTTCTCTGTAAAGGTTGTGGGTACTTTCGGGAATCCCCTCTTATGAAAGGGTAGCCTTTGGGAGGCCAAGCCTTGTTGTTGCCTCAAAGAACCGTGGATTCCATTTCAATCGGTAAAGTTGATAGCAAAGAATCATGACCAGAGACTTATGCAGGCGCGGTTCTGACCTTGCGATGAGCTGGAAGTCAGACTCAAAGACTAAGGACTTTGGGAGTAGGAAACGCAAATCAATTTATCCGGTTCTCCGGCCCGAATACGCGCGAAAGAAATGCTGGTGCACCCATAGATGGAGCTGAATATGAACTAGGGACCCTTTGGCTCGGGAGCCATGTCCACCAACCACTTTGGAGGGGGTTCCCTATCAAGAATCATAGCGATAGAAGGTTCCAATTGAACCTCATATCGACTCATATCCGTTTGATAGTGTGTCTTTTTGAGAGAATGCTGCGCTTGCTTTAACACCGAACATTCGCCCGTGAAACTCCTATCCGCGTGGTTTCCTCTCTTGTTTAGGGTACCTTGTCAACACGTGTAAGGAAAGCCACTGAGAAATCTCTCCCTGATCAGCAAAAACAGCACTAGGTCCCCCAGTAGTGCCCTTTTACCCTTTTTGGGGGAGGGTTACCCTACTAAAATAGACTGCAGAAGAAAAACAAAAAGTACGTACCCTTATTCTAACCTCCCTGGAGGACCTAGAATATGCAAACGAGACCCGGTCGCTCGCGGCTTTCGCTTCGGTTTGGCCAGGTGCCAATGGTGCGCGCCGCGGCAGCCACGGCCATGGTCCGGCTGGGTGGAATGAGAGGTCTCGAGAACGGCAGCTGAGAGTCGCCCTAAGGACCAGTGGCAGTCGCGCGACGCGAGAGGTAGACGTAGCTGCAATGCACGCTCGTGTGTTTGGTGCGGGTAGCCTTTTATGGGGTCGTTCTACACGGACTCCCCTTGGGAAAGCACGCAAACACACACACACACACACACATGTTGGAGTGAAAGTCTGATATGCACTTTGGAAGAGATGCATCTCCACTGCTGCTGGTCAAAAGCACACCCTAGGGTAGTGGTCAGTTTCAGTAGGTGGTCTTTTCCCGGCCGAAGAAAGGAGCCGCTCGTGCCGCCGAAATGGGCGCAGCAGCTGTTTGTCGTTCAGTGCGGGAAACGAGGCAAATCGCATGATGGGATGGCCCACGTTGGTATCACAAGCGCGATGTTCCACAATGTCATTGTAGTGTAGACGTGTGATGCTTGATTGATGGCTTGCATGTCGAGTCATGCTTGGGATCGTGGTTCCCTGAATAAGCCATGTCGCGACTTCAATTGACATAAGCAGCACAGTGAGCAAGCAATTGTTGTCGTGCTGCGTCTAGAGAGTCTAGCATGCATGAGATTGTTTGAACTTACGTAGTTGTTTCACTAGATTTGGACCAGAATCAAACATATGTGCTTGGGTTGGAGCTTCCAGATCCATCTGAAGTTCGCTTCCCCGAGTTCCTGGACTTTAAGACTTTTTGGAAGACCATTGACTGCTGTTGGGTTGGATCTATAGACTTTAACTTTTTGGTTGAAATAAAGGTGTTTTCCACTAAACCCCCCAAAAAGTTGTCAACTTTTTGCCGGGGGGTCGTTGCAGCAACCACGACATTTTAGTGGGAAACCGAAAGTCCAGACCCTTCTCTTCGCCTCTCAGGAAGTGGGTGAAACTTGTCCGCTCACCGGGCCGAAACCCTGAGAAAAACACCCTTTTGGCGGTGGATTTCTCCGGCAAATCGTGCGGTTCGAGGGAAACCCAAAGGGAAACCCAAGGGAAACCCAAGCTAGGTCCCCCAGTAGTGCCCTTTTACCGTTTCTTTTTTGGAACAGGGTTCCCCTACTAAAATAAACCACGGAAAAAGTTGGTACCAACTTATTCTAACCTCTCTAATCTGGAGGACCTAGCAAGGGAAACCTCTTTGAACGCCTTTTGACACCCTCCTTTCAGATCTCGATCCGCAGGTGCGGAGCCTCGTGGAGGAGGCGTCTCAGAAGCTGAGGCTAGAGGCACCAGTGGCAAGCAAAGCTTTCAACCAAGTTGCTCAACTCTTGGCTGGGGGTCAAAAATAAGTACCCAAAATGGAACACGGGCAAGTGGAAATGAAACCTGTGGTCCCCTGGTGGAGTGATTTTGACCCATACCCGTTTGGACCCCAACAAAAGCGGCTCAACAAATTGCAAGTTTCAATGCAGGGCCGCAAACGCGTTTTTTTTGTTCACCGTGCGTAAACATGCTTTTTGGGTGTAGGCCCTACACCAAACACACATTTTATTGCATGGCGAAAGTGTCTAAGGCATCATTCAGCTATGCCAAAAGGTGAGTACTCCGGAGGGGTACCAACATAATATTGAATTTTGAATTCACAAAATGCATTAAAACGTTTTGCGGGGTTCGGGCCTGGCAAACTGCTGGATTCTGCTTTTGTGTTGGTGCCTGCTTGGTTTGCACAGTTGTAGCCCCCGTGCTCTTCAAGATCAGGCATCTTGACTCGTATGGAAGTGTGAGTGCTCTTTTGTTCCTGTAATTCGTTGCAATGGTGATGCGCGTAAGATTCCACACACACAGCCCTCGGAATCTTGAATATCAATCCAGAAATGCATTCAAGAGCTTTAAATTATGTCGTAGTCTTTCCAAGTCACAGACGTGTTTGCACATATGAGCCCTTAACACGGATAGCTCGACACGTGTACAGGTGTAAAGGATGCTTTCCATAGTTGTGCCGTGTGTATGTACCTTAGTTGCAGACACTACAGCTCTAAAACGACTGAAAGCATTTTACGGATTCCAGATGTGCGATTTTTCAGGAACTTAGTTTTAAATCTTGAATGCAGCAGGCTCCAGACAACAAGGTTTAAAGCTGTTAAAACATGCTTTCCTGTAACTCAAGATTCGAATCCTGAGTCCTGCGAATCTTGAATCTCCCCATGCATCAATGTGCGAGCAAACAACATGAAAAAACGTTTGGATCTAGAGCAGTCCCTGATTCAGGATGCAAAACACTCCTGAGGTATCGGAGAACTACAGTCCTGAGAAGTGTCGATCTTGAATCAAGAAACGCTTTAAAACACACATCAAAGTTGCACAAGTGTATTGACAGAAAACTGGCGCTTCTTGCAAGGAAAATCGCAATGAATAATGCAAAATGGGCCACAAGGTGAGTTGGTACCCCTTCAACCCCCCATTTTAGATCGCCCAATTCATGAATGGCAGTCTTGCAGCTCACTGTCTGTCCAATGCTGGGGGAACACACCTCTCTCAGAACAAAGGTCCCGCAATCCCATCTCTTTTCAGTACCTTTTCTCCCTTCGCGATAGGTCGTGGCCAAAGATCTTTTCGCAGCGC